GTTTGTGGGAACAGAGACAACAACTAGGGGATAGAGGAAGCATGTGTGAGGCAGATTGTCCCGTGCTGTAGGGCAGGGTACAAGGAGCAAAAGCAGAAACAAAGTTGTTCTGACGGATCAATATGGCGGTCATTAATAGAATCCTGCAGCTTGATGGAGAAGGAAAAGCCCAGCATGCCAACTAATCCCAGACTCCTTCTGACTTGCAGATAAAAGGCTGATAATTCTCTGCATATCTTAATTAAAATTGGCTGTTCTCTGGGGGAACTCTTCCTGTAAGTTAAATTATGCTACAGACTATTGATGAGTGGACTTGGAGAAGACTGGACTAGACATATTTGGTATGAATTACTAGGATTCTAATGAAATTATAGAACCTTAAAGCATGAGCATCTAAATGTACCTTTGAAATCTATCTAGAAATGCAAAGAGGGAACAAAGAGGGAAAGATTAAGCCATGTTATTTATGGTACATGCTTGGCATGCTAGAGATTAAATGAGGATGGCTGAATAGACTTTTTATCATAGCAACAAATTCATGAGGTGGGGTCAACAACTCCCATCTTGCTCTGATAAAACTGAGGCTCAATAAGGTTATATAAGAACTGTGTAACATTTACAGGAAGTGTCAGATTCACTGTATGAACGAAGCTTTGTCTGACAAGCTCTGCCTGAGGAAGTTCATGAGCTTTTAGACAGATTAACACTTCTGATGTGCCATTTCTCAATGTCTGCTTCTCTTTCCAGCACTACTGATCCACCCTGGATTGACTTTTAAGAATGCATGTGAAGTGCATTTAACACGTGAAAATGTATTGCAATTTTCTGCAAAACCTGAGCAGCAGAATTAGATGTGAATAAAGAGCTTCTTGAGACTCATAGGGACCAAGAAATGCTCATAAATGATTTTTTTTTTTTTTTTTTTTTTGGCTAGAAAACAACTGTCACATGCATTGTTGAATATTCCCTAAAAACTGCAGGAAGTGATCATTTATGTTGTATATTAACTAATTTTTAATAGCTAAATAATAAATCTTTATCTTTTTCACTCTCATAGATACATGTTCCAATTATTACTCCTTATTTTTAATGTCATTTACTGGTATTTTATTAGAAAGCTAGCATATGATTGTAATGGTCAATTTGGACCTTTGAAAAGTATAATACATAATTAATAAAAATAATGTAATTTTACTACCTAAGCAGGAGTCAATAGACTATGGTCTGCTGGCCAAAATCTAAAATATTTATTGTCTTGCCTTTATAGAAAGAGTCTGCAATCCCTGACTTAATGGATAATATTTTTAACAATTGATTATATTATTTTGCTATTTCTCTGTGCACTGTTTCCATTTACCAAGGTAGAATAAACATTTCAACGTCATATATTGTATGTTCTAAATATTCTTTATTTCTTTATTTTTCCTAGAATGAACCGAAAGCATGTGTGTATATATACTATATATAATTATATATACATATAACAAATTTATGGGCTACTTTGAAATTCTAATGAAATCCAGTGAAATAAAATTCAGCCCAAACTGTATGAATTAGAAAAAAAACTTTTCCAATCTTTGGACACTCATTGCCTCCCTCCAGGAGATGATGTATCAAATAGGCTTATTTGTGTTCATTAGGAAGGTGAATTGAACCTGCTAAAGTTGCATAATTGCTTATGTCACATATATGTAGGTCACAAACTGAACTTATTCTTTACAATTATCAACAGTGGCAAAGCGATGCCAAAGACAAATATTATGAGTAAACTGTAATTCAAAATTGTTTATATTGAAAAAAGAAGGGGTGGGTGCGGCACCCTCAGCCAGGTGTTCTGGGCTTCAGGCTGAGAGTGGGTGTGTAAGGTTAAGGGAGGGAGGGAGAAGCAAAGCTCAGATCCAGATTTGCTTCTGAGCTGGCTGGACCTCGGAGCTTGCAAGTCTGGTCTCTCTCTTTGTGGGGAGAGGGTGGGTTGCAGGTCCCTTCTCTGTATTCCTCCCTGTAACCCCCAAAACTCAAGCCATCAAGGAGGAGGCCTTCTGATGCGTTTATCACTGTAGCATGAGACCATCCACGTTGCAATCAGATTTATCATAGCCCTGGCACTGTCTAGAAAAGGTCAGGGAGACAAAGAGTCTCCAGTCTCTGTATATGGATTCACTGCTCACCATCATTTGGATGATCTGGAAGAAACCGAAAGGACAATGCCCAAGTGTTGTTCAGTGTCAGGGCAGGTATCTGGACACCTTGATGCAGAATTCAGTCATTTAAATCAGCCTTAAATTGCAGAGCTGGTCCAGAATTTTGGGGGAGGCCATGAAATTAAGTGTCTATGTGTCTAGAGTGCCCATACAAAATTTTCTAGCCCCAAAATGTGCTGGTATAACAAGAAAAAAAAGAAAGTGAGAAAAGAAGGAAAGACAAATGCTAAATACTAAAAAGACATATACATACATAAAGAGACCTACACATTTGTATGGATACATGCATATACAAAACACGAGCACATACATATATATATCTATACCTATATCAAGAAGGTTATTAAAATGAGAAAATCTAGAATCTCTGTGAAACATCTCATTTGTTTTTAAAGTTAACTTGTGAGAACATGTAGGTAACAGGAGATTCCCCGTTTCACCTGTAGTTCAATTCATGCATCCAATACACACTGTGTGCACACAATGTACCAAGGTCTGTGCTAAGGGCTGGGACTATTGTAGCTCACTTTTGGAAGTTTTTAACTGGAGACACTTAGCAGACATCCAGATGGAATTACACAGCAGGCAATTAGATGGATGAGTTTTGAGTTGAAATGAGTGGTCTGGACGGGGAGTATTTTGATCACCTCCTATTCACCCTGTTGGTGAGGGAGGGATTCTCACCCTAGGGTTACCACCCAATATGGGGCAGATGAGATCCACAGCAGTTTATTAGTCATATATACTCACAGCCTGGTGGGGGGACACACATGCGGGGCCAAATGGAGTGAGTAGTGGGAAGGAGATCCACTTTGGGCCAATTAAAGGAAACCTAGGAATTACATTCATAAACTTGATGATAACTTATTCCATCTTCATCTCTCCAGATATGAACAAGACACATGCAATCACTTCAGCTGTTGACAGTGATGTAGCTCCCGAGTCCACTGAGAAAGGAGCCAACAAACATGGAGGATGGCAGACCACAGACAGCCATAGGGAAACAAATGTAAACTGATTACACTGAGACTCTCCATGTCTTCCCAAAGTCTTACTTGAGGCAAAACATCTCAGTGATAATTATATCAGGGATGGAGTTCCTTTATTGCTTTAGCCAATTTAATTTGGCTTTCTGTTACAAATTTAATCATTTTTGAGAAGCTGTACTCTTCCATGCACAAACTTTAACTTTCTCACAGAAGGCAGTTTTGAGAATTGAGAAGAGCAAAGGGTAGTTACATGGTTTGAGGAACAAAAACAACAAAAATACCGAGGAGGAAATGGTGGCAGTTTCCTTAGATCTTTCTCAACAGGAGCAAACTGGTTGCAAATTCAGGGGAACGTTAGCCTCCCACTGCAGTCCTGTGTCATAGAGTCCCTGTCCTCACCTCTAACTCATGTCTGTTTCTGCTTTGAGCATTCTTTGGAATAATCCTGTGGATTGTATGTATTTCCTAGTTTTCTAAGTTTCAATATTTTTTGATTGACCACATATGGATTTATAATTTTATGTGGTTTATTAAGCCACTTTTAATTATGACAGGTTCTAACTAGCCTTTTTGTGACAAAAAAAGCCATTTCTTACACAATTGATACAATATTTTTCTTGTGTTTGCTGTGTTCGTTGCAGATATATATATTTTTAAATATCCCTGTTTTAAAAACTCTAAATTACTTGGAACTTAGTTTTTTAAATGCTGTAAAGTAGAGATATAAAATAGTTTTTTTTCGAATTCATCACTTAGAGTCCAAACTTGCTTTCTGACTTAAAAATATGGTTTTTCATAGTTAAAACCTATAAATACACCTGACTCTATATTTTCTATTGTTACATTTATCTAATCAACATTTCTTATGAGGGAATTTGTCACTTTTAACTACTATAGTTTTATAGCATCATCAGATGTGATACAGTATAATTATGCATCTTTTAAAAATGTTTTAGATATTCTTACATATTTATTCTTCACCATGAAATTTAAAATGAATTTGCTAATTTCTCACCCAAAAAAAGGATGCTGCTATTTTGTTTTTCAATTACATTTAATTTATATATTATTTTGGCCTGTCTTATATGGTTTTCATCACCATTTATTTCTGTTTTAAAGAGTGAAACTTTTTATGGTTTTCTTAATATGGACTTTCCTAATTTCTTATAAAATCCATTTCTTCATAATTTAAAGTTTTATAGCTTTTGTGACTGGGATTTGTTTTTCGTTATATTTCCTAATTGGTAATTTCTGTTACATAGTCAAGCTATTGATTTCTGTTTATCTATTTAAAAACAAATGCCCTACCTGAAGTTTAGACACTCTAGTGAATTTCTTAGGGTTTTCAATGTAGATAATATAATATAATGTATTTCTTCCAATATGTATAATGCTATTCAAAGCATGAAAAATAACTTTTGGTAAACAGCCAGGGATTTGGTTAACTTTTTCTAACATTAACATATATTTTATTTTCATTTTCATTTTTTTTAGAGAGAGAGAGAGAGAGAACACTCATGCATGAGTGGAGGGGAGGGGCAGAGAGAAAATCTCACGCAGGCTCCATGCTGAGCATGGAGCCCAACTCAGGGCTCGGTCTCACCACCTGAGATCCTGACCTGAGCTGAAATCAACACTCGGAGTCGTAACCAACTGAGGCACCCAGGCACCCCACTGTGCATATATTTTAGATGTGGATATTTATTTTGAGGTTCATATTTGGAATCATTTTGAATAAATACCCTTTTTTAAAAAGATCTTATTTATTTATTTATTTATTTATTTATTTTTATTTATTTATTTATTTTAGAGAGATTGAGAGACAGAGCAAGCAGGGGGAGGAGAAGAAGGAGAGGGACAAGCAGACTCTACACTGAGTGCAGAGCCTGAGGAGGAGCTCAACCCACGACCCTGAGATCATGACCTGAGCCAAAAGCAAGAGTTGTAGACTCAACTGACTGAGCCCCCCAGGTGCCCAATCAATATCCTTTTGATTCATTTATCTGAGCTTTGTTTTTTCAGTTTAATCAAGGGTCTACCAGCATATTTGGTAAAATTAATATGTTTTTAAAATTTTAAGCATTAACATGGTGAAATATTAAAATGTTTTTCAGTAACAAAGCCTCCTAGTGTTCCTCAAACCAACCAATCCTGTTCAGGTTACATCACCTGTTTCATGGGGTGCTAGAATCTTTTTGTCAATATTTTGCTTACACTTTTTCATCATAATGCATCATATGCATTATAATGCATAATGATAAATTGTACCCACTATTTGTCCTTCTTCACGTAATTTTATTGGAGATTAGCAACAGAATTCTGTACAACACAAACTGTAGAACATAGCTGTTAATGCTATGGGCTTTGGATTCATACATTCCAATGTTTGAATCCCAGCTTTGTCATTTTCTAGCTTGACCATCTTAGGTAATCTGGTTATATCTAAATTTCTGTTTCGTCATATTAAAAATAGGGTACCTGTTGAGTTTTGTGAGGATTACATGAAGTGAGAGATAATGCAAGCGACCTACTTATTCCAGTGGCTAGAACTCCAATGTTAGTCAATAAGTATCAATCATAAAATAATGGTAATAACACTCTATATTTTTATTAATTTATATTTAGAGGACATGATCTAAGTTGATCCATTGTTAATAATCAAAGTACATTTTATTGGACATTGTGTGGGTCCCTGCTTTCCAGATGTCGACCAAGGAAGAAGGCTACAACATTTCAGATATCCATCAGTTTGTTAGAAAGGAGGTCATCACAATCAACCAAATCAGTGGTTTCTGTATTGAACAACTTATTTTTCATGGTTTTGTGGCAGATGGAGATTAGCTTGGGTAGATCTTCCATTAGCATAATTGCACTAGCCAGTCAAATAATGTGAGACACCCCAGCCTTTCAACCCCAGTTTTGACCACCATGGTTCTCCCCATTTTTATATAGCACTAGTTTACCCACTCTACAGTCTGGATATGCTTCCTGGGGATGCTGCAGGGATCATAATAAGCCACAACTCTAGGCATTGACCTTTAGCCCTTGACATTCTGAGTTAGCTGACTTGGCTGGGGAAACTTCTACTACTTCCCTCACATTCAGAAAATCACACCTAGGTTGCTCTGCCTTCATTTTGCAATATTTCTAATTATCTTATCTGATGACTAACTTCATTTTCTTCTTTTTTTTTAAAGATTATTTATTTATTTATTTGACAGAGAGAGACATAGCGAGAGCAGGAACACAAGCAGGGGGAGTGGGAGAGGGAGAAGCAGGCTTCCTGCCGAGCAGGGAGCCCGATGTGGGACTCGATCCCAGGACGCTGGGATCATGACCTGAGCCGAAGGCAGACGCTCAACGACTGAGCCACCCAGGCGCCCCCTTCATTTTCTTCTTAAAATTAGTATAATTCAGTCTTTCTCTTCACTTACATATCCCATTTACCATCTCAGTATGGAAAAGATTAGAGGATAACTAATAGAGATTTTCCATCCCTGTCTTAGTGAGAGTCATTTTTTATGTTTTGCATCAACAGTATTTGTTGATACTTTTACACCTCATCGTTACAGTTACTAGGTCATGTTGCCAGTTTCTTGGATTTAGCAATAAAGAAAAGCAAGTAACACCTAAGAGTACAGCATCTGCTCTATCCAATTTAATTTCTCCATAGTAACTATTTAGGGAAAAGTGTATTTCGTTTTAGAAGAGTTGGAAAACAGCTGTTCTGACAAAATATATCCCTGTCAATGTTATATCCTGATGTGAAACGAGTCTCTTACCTAACTGTTCTGCTCTCGTCCTGAAAACCTGTTATTCAGGTATAGAAACCTGTTTCTATACCAGAAATTCATATTGGAGGAGCTCCTATTTGCATGTTATAGTATAGGAGGGTCCCTACTGGAGTGAAAGATAACACATGGCATATGCTTTATAAATATATCTAATGGCATTTATGGAACAGTGGGTAAGAATATGGATTAGTAAAATGTATATGTAGCATAAATATTTATAAATATATAAGGCAGATCTTGTATCATGGAAGTGTGCAGAAGATAGGTTTTACAAAAAAAGCAAGAAAAGACAAGGAAGAAAGAGAAAAAGACAAAGAAAGCTAGCTGACTGGAGTCTGAATCTTTGCTGTATATATTTTCAGTTTTTAAGACTTTTCAAGAAATACATGATTACTGATACCCAGACAGGTAGATAGCCTGTGATCATTGAGCGTTTTTTAAGAGTTTTTATTTATTTGAGAGAGAGAGAAAGAGAGAGCATGAGCAGCAGGGAGAGGGAGAAGTAGGCTCCCCGCGGAGCAGGGAGCCCAGTGCAGGGCTGGATCCCAGACCCCGGGATTAAGACCTGAGCCAAAGGCAGATGCTTAAGCAACTGAGCCACCTAGGTCCCCCAAGCATTTTCCATTACAGAGCATGAGGACATTCATTTATTTTATAATGGACTAAAGAAATATATATACACATTTTATTTGTATGTTTTAAATACATTTTTATGAAATACATATTATGAGCTTTACCATAATCACTACATTACATTTACATTAAGAGTATTAAATTCTGCTCTGATTTCATCCAAATTAATGGAAGTTTTGTATTAGACACATACAGACACTCACTTAGCTCTGTGGACCGTTTACTGTGTGAGATTCTCTTAGAATGATTTCCATTTCATTGAAATAAAGATTAAATATATTAGAATAGGCCTATAAGGAAATACCCTCACCCCAAGTAAGCCAAAATATTGTCTTTAACATTTGGCAAAGAAATCAACATTCTTTTATTTATTTTTTTTAGTGCTATGCAAGTTCAACATCATAATCTGCATTATAGCTAACTACCCTGAATTTGACCAAATACTTCTGCGCTGTTTCTCACTAACGCTGTTAAGTAGCAGTTCGTTAGGGAGAGTTTGGAGCAAAAAATTTCCTCACACCAGGTCTTTCTAATTACCTGAGCAAGTTTTTTGGAGACCTACTTCTCTATTTCAGAAGTTCTATGACAAATGCTTGTGGCTCTATGGATTTTTATATATGACAGCCATCAATTAGGAGAGTAGTTATCTCCACAGATTAGTTATATATTGATAAAGAGTACATGACTGAAAAGTGTTAAACTAATTTGGGGACTACACTAACACAAGGGAAAAAAATAATTCATGGTTTTGAATAAGAACTGTTTTTTCAAGGAAGAGGGTCCAAAATACATATTATTAATGCTCAATCTTTTTCTCATTAGAACATTTTACTATGGTTTATGGGACACTGGCCAATCCATATCTCCAATCCTGATTTCATACAAATGTCATAACACCATGCTAACTATTTTTTATGCCAAGTACCTGCCAAAAGTTTCTTACATCAGGACCTTTTTTAGAAAAAATTTAAGAAATTTAGAAAAAATTTAAATTCAATTAGCCAACATATAGGACATCATTAGTTTCAGATGCAGAGTTCAAAGATTCATCAGTTACATATAACACCCAGTGCTCATCACATCATGTGCCCTCCTTAATGCCCATCCCCCAGTTACCCCATCCCCCCACACACCTCCCCTCCTGCAACCCTCAGTTTCTTTCCTAGAGTTAAGGGTCTCTTATGGTTTGGGGCGCCTGGGTGGCTCAGTCATTAAGCATCTGCCTTAGGCTCAGGTCCTGATCCCTGGGTCCTGGGATCGAGCCCTGCATCGCATTGGCCTCCGTGCTCCGCGGGAGGCCTGCTTCTACCTCTCCCACTACCCCTGCTTGTGTTCCTGCTTTCGCTGTGTCTCTCTCTGTCAAATAAGTAAATAAAATCTTTTTTAAAAAAAGAAGTCTCTCATGGTTTGTCTCCCTCTCTGATGACTTCCCATTCAGTTTTCCCTCCCTTCCCCTATGATTCTCTGTGTTGTTTCTTATATTCTACATATCAGTGAAACCATATGATAATTGTCTTTCTCTGATTAACTTATTTTGCTCAGCATAATACCTTCTAGTTCACTCCACATTGATGTAAATGGTAAGTATTCATCCTTTCTGATGACTGAGTAATATTCCATTGTGTGTGTGTGTGTGTGTGTGTGTATCACATCTTCTTTATTCATCTGTGATGGACATCTCAACTTCAGGACCTTTTAATTCAATTCAAAACTCCTTTTCCTGGCCTTTCCTGGCTCCTTCTCATGTGCCAAGATTCACAAGTAAGACTGCCTCCCTGTAAAATCTGCCCAAACACCTCTGTTAAATGCTTTCATACATTCCTTGGCAGCCAAAGCTTATTTTACTTTGAGAGATTATACTCATTTATTTTGGTTTTTTGCTCATCTCTGATAGAATGCAAGCTCCAGGCAAGCAGTGAATACTTTTATCTTGTTCCAGGCTTTTGACAAATGCCTGAAAACCACATTAGGTACTGAAGAAATATATATTGAATGGATGGATAAATAAGATGAGTGATGGCAAGTCAAAATGTTTGTAAGGAAGAAATGATAGCACAAAATCTCTCAGAAAAGTAAAAAAAAAAAAAAACTTCCCTTTTAAATAAACTTATTTTTATTCAAATTTAACATGCATGCAGAATGGAACACAAAATAAAGTGGACAGCTGGCCGAAATTTTACAAACTGATCACATCTGTGTAACCAGAACACAAATTAAAAAACTGAATATTATCAGTACCTGAAAGCTCCCATTCATTCTTGTTTAGTTACTATTCTAGACATGCTCCTTAAAACCACAAACTGCAGGTTTATTAAGACTTAGCTATTTAAGCAGACTGGATATGTCCTGCTAGGTATGATTTTGTAGATAAGAACTCGTCAGTATTATTCTTTTAGCAAATATGATTAGCAAATTTACAAAGAGGTCCATCCTTGTAATGCAGTCATTCCTTTAGAATTCCCTAGGAGGGAGAAAGGGAACTATGATCTGTCACTAGACCTTTCTCAGGACAAGAACATTTATGAACGAAAATAGCCAAAGCCCTAATCGGCATTTTGAAAAAAAATCTTACCTCATTATTTTTTAAAAAGATTTATTTATTTGAGAGAAAGAGACAGAGAGAAAGGAGGAGGGACTGAGGGAGAAGGAGAGAGAATC